CTTCAGCGTTGGCTGCGATTTTGAAGCTGAAATAGCGTTCGGTTGTGAACGCAGCATAACTCTTAAAATGAATCAGCTGTAGATGGCAAACCTTTTGAAAGTTTCATCAAAATATGTTCTGTGAGTGACATTTTGCTAATGGTTCACACAAAGTACAAGCAAAAATATCATTACTTTGCTTTTTATATTTACCAGATATTAAAAAAAGTAATATTGTTTTTAATACTCCATAAATTATCTCACACTCTAAATACAAATTTTCTGGCACGTCCGTCCCTTTTTTTTTTCTTGTTGCTCCTCCCAGAACCAGACTGGGCGTCCTACAAGATCGGAGTGTTCGTGTGCCTGAACTGCTCTGGGATCCACCGCAGCCTCTCCAGCCGGGTCAAATCCATCCGCTTAGACTTCTGGGAGGATGACCTTGTGGAGGTATGCGCTCTCCTCTGTTAGCGTGGCAACATGAGAGCTTTTCACGTRACGGGGTTTTAATTGTTACTGGTTGTCTTTTTTTTTATTTTGGGTCTTGGTTCTGGAAAGTTCATGAAATCTGCTGGCAATTGCAAAGCCCGATCTGTGTATGAGAAAGATGTCCCCCCATTCTACTATCGACCCAAAGAAACTGACTGCAGGTGAGTCGCATTTCAGCACTTTGTGAGGAGATATTTTTAACGTCCATACCAGACTGCTGACCGTGCAAAGGTGCAAAAAACAGAAGTGCAACTCCAGACTGTAGAAGTGACAAATGAATGCAAGATCAAAGCTTAATGACACACTTTATTTGTTCTGGTAACACCACAGCGCTTGCTATTGCAGAAGTATGTAAAGTCTCTTTTCATGTTTGAACCGCAGCGCCCTSAGAGAGCAGTGGATTCGAGCGAAATATCAGAGGATGGAATTCACAGGAGGAACCAAGTATCCCCCTTTGGCGTACACCACAGGTGAAATGTTCACTGGCTGCAGACAAGATGTGGAAACTTAGCCTGCAGATGACAAAGCTATTTCAGCATGGAGTTACAGAAAGAACAGGTTCTCTGGATGATAAGATTTGAATTATTAAAAGAACAAACACCCTTTGTTTGGAACCTGTTTGGCAAAAATAAAAGTAAAGTGTGGTCTGAGAGCAGTMTGTATAAGGAAGCTTATGCAAGTCTGATTCTTGTGTGGATCTCAGGTATGTTTGAAGGAATGCTGTTGAAGAAAGGACGGGATAACAAGACGTATCAGAACAGGAAGTTTGTGCTGTCAGAGAGAGAGTTCACTCTGACCTACTACAACAAGGAAGATGTGAGTTTACACTTGCACAAAAAAACACAACAGTTTTGTTCAAGCAAGCAAAATTCTTTAAGAAACAGTAACGTGCATAAGTCATCTTTAGTTTTTGTTTTGCTTCTAAGGAGTCAGACTTTCTTGTCATCTTTTAAAGAATTTTAGATAAATATTTTTAGGCTCTGAGAAAGTTTTTTTTAGGATTTTGCTGCTTTTTCATTTTTTTCCCCAGAACCTGAAAATTTGTAAGTTTATCGTGGTTTAGCTCAACAATAAATATGTGGTTTATATCCATATCAACCTCCTGATGCATTCTAATCCACACAGATTATCCTGTAGTCATTTCCTCTGGCAGGATCTTCTTTGTAGAAGAACCCGTCCAAAGGACCTGACTCAACCCTGTTCAGTTACATTCGTATCAAATTTATTTAAATACAGCACATTTAAAAGACAACTGAGGTTGACCAAAGTTCTTTAAAGTCAATCGAAGTTAAAGTCYGTCTGTTCGTTTTCGTCCTCTTATCCGGGGTCGGGTTGCGGTGGCAGCAGAGAGCAGAGAGACTCAGACTTCACTTTTCCAGCTCTTCTGGGAGGACTCTAAGGCAGTGTTTCCCAAAGTTGGGGTCGGGACCCAAAGTGGGGTCCCGAAACATCAAGGTGGGGTCCTGAAAAGGTTTTCTGAATTAATTACATTTTTGCCCTGGTTGTTACAAAGGAGTTAGGTTAGTATACTTAAAATAAAAATATTGTTACTATGCCCATCTTTAGTTGACCTGATACAAATGTTTATCATTCAAACATAGTTGGGCACAGGTCTCAGCTACTGTTATTTTGTGGGTCAAAAGCTGAAAAGTTTGGGAACCACTGCACTTTGGTTCCCAAAGTTGGGCTTGGAACCCAATTATGGGTCACGAAAATCTCCAGAAATTAATTTAAAGGGTAAAAAAATAATTGATGATGTAATATTTTCCCTATAATTATTACAAAAACACAAAATAAGTATAAATAAGTATTTATATTTGTGTATAAGCTGTTTAGATTGTCAAAAAGTCTGTGTTTTTAGGGTTATTAACAAAGTTCGTGTACTCAGACCAGTAATATTTGGGGTCACAAGTTTTAGCCATGGATATTTTGTGGGTCAGAAGATAAAAGTTTGGGAACCACTGCTCTAAGGAATTCCTAGACCAGCTGAGAAACGTAGTCCCTCCAGCGTGTCCTGGGTCTTCCTCTGGGTCTCCTCCCATGTGGGACGTGCCCGTAACACCCCACCAGGGAGGCGTCCAGGTGGCATCCTAATCAGATGCTCGAGCCACCTCAACTGGTTCCTCTTGACGTGGAGGAGCAGCGGCTCTACTCTGAGTCCCTCCTGGATGACCGAGCTTCTCACTCTATCTCTAAGGGAGAGCCCAGACACCCTGCAGAGGAAACTCACTTCAGCCGCTTGTATCCGGGACCTCGTTCTTTCAGTCACTACCCAAAGCTCGTGACCATAGATGGGGGTAGGAATGTAGACCGACCGATAAACTGAGAGTTTCGCCTTCTGGCTCAGCTCCGGCTTCACCACGACAGACCGGWGCATCACTGCAGTCGCATCACCAATCCGCCTGTCGATCTCCCGCTTCATTCTTCCCTCATTCCTGAACAAGACCCTGAGATACTTAAACTCCTCCACGTGGGGCAGTTACAGTTAAAGTACAATCTATAAACTTAGCATAAGTTCGTCTTGACATTTTAAATTGGGCAACAAATCCTAAGAAGTAAGAAAGCCTAATAAATAATAAACAAAAGAAAAATGTCCTTACTTTTTGTGCTATTTTTATATTTAAAATCAAAGAAACACAAGAATAAATGTAAAGAACTGAGAAATGATTCCAGGTTTTAAACAATAATTGTGCTTATTTGCATACTGTCAGCTTGTTTTATTTCAGCATCTCATTATTTTTGTTATTTTATTGCTAAAGAGCATCTTTATATTTATGATTTAGGAATCCAAAGGACCTAAAGCTGTAATCTCCATTAAGGACCTGAACGCTACCTTCCAGCCTCAGAAAATCGATCATCCTAACGGGCTGCAGATAACGTACCAGAAAGACGATCACACCAGGAACCTCTTCGTTTATCACGAGAGCTCAGAGGTTYGAGGGGAATCACCAACAGGGATATTTTTGCACCCGTTGCTCTAGTTCTGCAAAAGCTCATTGTTACTATTTTGATCTTTAGGAAATAGTTGCGTGGTACAACGCCATTCGAGCTGTGCGCTATGCATACCTGAAGACAGCCTACCCTACTGGAAGTGATGAAGAGGTAACTTTAACCTTCGTCAAATAATTCAGCTTCCTGTTTGGTGACATTCACTTCAAACTTACTCAGACACTACTTTTGAAAGAAGTTTGTCTATTTTAGTTGGAGCTTTACAGATYAGAAATTAAAGCATAAACCTCAGTTTCTTTCCATTATTGTGTGAACGYTGAGTCTGTTGGTTTCTTTGTACATGTTTTCAATAAAACTACTTATAATTGTGATATTTTAATCAGTTATAAATAAAAAAGTAGTGTGCTATGACTTTTTTAATCTTTCATTTAGAAAAAATGTCATCTTAGAAATAGAGGTCTCTGTTTCTTTTGAACATGTCTACTTTATTTTAGCGTTCTTGCTCTTTTTTTTGTTGTTGTCTTTTGCTACCTCTAGCTTTTATCGACAGTTTTGATAATTTTTCATTTCAGCAACAGCTTTGCAAGATTTAGCTTTTAGTTACACTTTTGCTAATTAAAGCTTTAAGATTTGACTCTTTTCACCTACAGTTTTGTTAGTCAGAACTTCATCAATGGTTTGCAAATGTGCTTGGTTAGTTTTGCTTTCAGGTATGTTTTTGTTAAGTTTTGCTTTTAGCTAAGGTTTTGCTGAATTTAGCTAYAAGTTACAGTTTTACACATTTTTGCTTTCAGCAATGTGTTTGCTAATTTTTGCTTTTTTGTACTCTTTATTTACCATTATTCATATTTTACAGTAAGACATAAGAACGTATATAGAAYTTGGGGCACTGATTTGTAGTTTAGTAGGGAAAAAAGGCAGTATTACAATGTGTTAGATCAAGTTATGCTTCCTTGTTCTCATATGTAAACCATTTAGTCCAGCAGTTGTTGAAAGTGATACGTAGGATATATGTCAGCTTTTCCATTGAGTGAATTTCCTCATGATTCCTTGCCAATGATCCACCTGGGGTGGGAGACTCTTTAGCCAAGACCGTGTTATAGTCTTTTTGCTTGCAATTGATAGGATTTTAAAGAGATATACTTGTAAGTCCCAACAAGAGAATCTTGGGATGATGTAACCCAATTAAATATAAACTACATATAATTTATATTATATGTAATTTATATAAGTTACATATTAAATAAATTCCCAATTGTTTSACAGATTTCATCCCAAAATTATACTAACTTTGGACAGGACCAATTTACATGAGAGTGATTGACCACATTGTCTCCAACATTGCTGCTGTTCTCCTTTTTGTCTATTAATAATTTGTGGTGTAATAAAATATCTAATTAGGCATTTCCAACCGAATTCCCTCCATCTTTTAGAACTAGGAGATGTCTGTTGTGCTACACACATTGAGATCCAATTACTCTCTGAAATTTTTACACACAATTCTCCTTCCCATTTTGATTTAATATGCAAGGTATTATTTCCATTTTGTTTCTGCAACCCTTTATATAGTTTAGAGACAGTTTCACTTGGGAGATGGGAATAAGCATTACTATTTTTGCTTTTAACTTAGCTATTGTTTCAAATATTTTATTTCAGTTCTGCTTGGTTTTACTTTAACAACTTGTCTGGAACAAATCTCAGCTCTCATTCAGTTTTCACACTGCATGTTTTGTATTTAAAGTTTAATGTTTCTTTTTTTCATCTCTGTCAGCTGGTGCCAAAGATAACAAGAAACTTCCTTAAAGAGGGATACATGGAAAAGACAGGGCCACTGGTGAGTTGAAGTCATGTTTGCTCAGTTGTGCTTTGCTTGTTCTGTAAGCGCTGAAGCATTGTAGTTATTTCTGGGTTTTATTTTGTCTGAGCTGTCCAACTTAGTTTCTGTTCCTCTTTCATGTATAGAAACATGCAAAAGCTTTTCATAAAAAATGAATTGCTGATGACTTCCATAAAGAAACTGGTGAAAATCTGTGCAAATTTATGCTTCATTTTAATGAAGTGCTTCAAATCTGTATCTACTTTCTAAAACAGCAAAAAGAGCCTTTYAAAAGGAGGTGGTTCAGTTTGGACTCACAAAACAGGAAGTTGTTCTACTTCAAAAACCAACTGGTGAGACTTCTTCTATTTTTAACACTGTGCCATTCATCAGTGCCTCATATTTAAATTATGTCTGAACCTTTCTTATTATTAATCCAAATTTAGGACGCAGAGGAGTTAGGGGTTGTTTTCATCGGCACAGAAAGCAACGGTTACTCCGTCAAGACGTGTGCCCCAAAGAACACTCGGGGGAACAAGTGGAAGTTTGGCATCAAGATGGAAACACCTGAACGCCTGTTCGTGCTCATGTGTGAGCAGGAGAGGGAGCAGAAAGAGTGGATAGAAGCCTTGAAGAAGGTGCTGGCCAGGCCCATGTCACCTCAGGATATCACCGGTGAGAAAAAAGGTTTTAAAATGATAAAAATGTGTCTGCACCGTACAGTTCAGTGCAGTTTGGTGGTAGAATGGATCAGTTGGATGGATGTAGCTGTTTGTTGTGTCTGACTAAACACGTTCTGAACTATTACAGATAACAAAACTGACCTCGATAACACTGTTAATAGTCATCAACTATTTTTTATAACAAATCTTATTTTTTTTCCTCACAAATTAGTTTTTTACAAAAAAACTCTGGTTCTGGTTCCTCTCAGCCTGTCCGCAGTACAGACTTCAGGAATATTTAACTTATGTTGAGGACGACTGTGATGCCTGGATTACGAGATGCCCAAACCACCAGTTGAGGTGGCTTGGGCATCTAGCAAGGATGCCTCCTGG